GCCCTATATGGCCTAGGACCCTCGTACCTACGGGACCGCCTCTCCTGGTATGCCCCACAGAGGAACCTACGGTCTGCAAATAAAAACATCTTGAAGGTCCCAGGCCACAGAGAGGTTAGGCTGGCCTCAACTAGAGCCAGGGCTTTCTCGGCTGCGGCTCCAATCTGGTGGAACGCTCTGTCACAAGAGACTAGGGCCCTGCGGGACCTGACATCTTTCCGCAAGGCCTGCAAAACAGAGTTGTTCCACCAGGCCTTTGGTCAGGGCCCAGCCTGACCCCCTCCTCTGGCAACCTGCACAGAATTTTGCTTAACGGTTGCCATTAATTTTGATTTTAATTAATTTTTATAATGTTTTTAGAATGTTGCACTATTTTAGTGTTGTTAGTCACCCTGAACCCGGCTTCGGCTGGGGAGGGCGGGATATAAATAAAATTTATTATTATTATTATCTGCTCCTGACCATAAAGGTAAAGGGTAAAGGGACCCCTGACCATTAGGTCTAGTCGTGGCCGACTCTGGGGTTGCACAAATGGGAGGAAAGGGGGAAATCCATGCCAGGGGTCTCTTCATGCAAATTTCACCAACCTCCCTGTTGCTGACTGAGATCAGACAAGGCCTCACCGTTTTGAATCTCAGGTGCTTGACAAAGACCTTGAAATACACATTTTAAGGAAGATTTCTGTTTTTCTGATGAATTTTAATTGATTTTATCCACTGAACGCTTTTTTGTAATCTTTATGCACACTGCTTTTAAGAGTTATGAATCACTGAAGTTAAGCAATGCCTAAAATGATGAAAAATCATCTTACCAAAGTGTGATCTCTTCCAAAGCTGAAGCAGGAGTCACAGCCAGGCACATTCTTTCCTCTTCTTTTGCCACCTCTAGTCCAGAGTCCCCTTTCGCTCTATTTCCTTTCCTATCTGCATTTGTTTGGAATCTGCAGGCTGTTACACCTGAGGCTGCCTTTCAGTTACAAGCTTCTCTGGGCCTGTCAGCATTCTCTGCAAGGGCACCAGCTTCCAGCAGGGACTTGGTGGTCTCCAGGAAGTGGCCTGTAGTCCATCAGAACTTTGCTTTGTCCACCTCTGTTATATATTGCTAATTTAACCAAGCACTTGAAGAAAACATCTTCTTTCTCCAAAATGCAAGCACAGAGATGTATTTCTGAATGTTGCCCTTCATCACATGACATTGATGCCCAGGTTCCCCCTTCAGAATCTCAGCTTTAACTTTAAGCTAAAGGTCAGCAACAGGAGGGCTCTGGGTCAGTTCTGAACCCCCCCGAGGTACCACCCAGCCATTCTGAATTCAATACATTTCCCTGTAGGCTCTTTTTCTACTCTCCACTGCCAGGCAAAGGTGTACTCAAATTGCTTTGCTGGACAGTTGACAACCTTGGGGAAACTTGGGCAGAGATAGATCCCAACTCTACTGAGGATCTTTAGGCTAAGAGGCTACTCAATGAGGAATGGGCTTTTGCTCCTCAGATCCATTTTTCCAAGGTCAGCTCTTCAAAGAAGTAAACTGGGACATCTTCTCGATCTTAGATTTAAATCCAAGGTACGAAAGAGGCCTTCTAATGTTGGCCTCTCCTTTGAGGCAAGCGTCACCAAGCCCCTGCAAGCTTGTTTCCAGGCCTGAGTCTGGTGAACTTCACCGCCATCTCTGTCACTGAACTTTAAAAACCAGGCGATGGAACAAACTGTGGTTTCAAGCTGCTGCTTAAAATGAGAATGGGACTCAGCAAGCAGCAGTGAAAGGGATCCTCCACTTCCCCTTCTGTGTCCAATCTGTGAATACATAGATTATCGTGTAATCTGCAGTGAGGTCTATCTGGCACTAAAAATGTACACAGACTTTAAAAAAAATAGTGGAAACCATCATTCTGTGCTTTTTTATTTGCTGATGTGCAGCATCAGTATACTAACTAAACCTTCCCGTTAGTAGTCCAATATTAGAGCAAATGTGGTATTTTCCATATTTTTAATGTAAGATGCAACTCAGGGATGTGGGTAGCGCTGTGGTCTAAACCACTGAGCCCCTTGGGCTTGCTGATCAGAAGGTCAGCGGTTCGAATCCCCGCGATGGGGTGAGCTCCCGTTGCTTGGTCCCTGCTCCTGCCAACCTAGCAGTTCAAAAGCACGTCAAAGTGCAAGTAGATAAATAGGTACCGCTCCGGCAGGAAGGTAAACGGCATTTCCGTGTGCTGCTCTGGTTTTGCCAGAAGCGGCTTAGTCATGCTGGCCACATAACCTGGAAAAACTGTCTGCAGACAAATACCGGCTCCCTTGGCCTATAGAGAGAGAAGAGCACACAACCCCAGAGTAGTTTGGTTAGTGGAAGCACTGACTTGAGCTCCACAGCAGTTGTGCGGTTTTTATTAGTTTTTATTAGTTTTATCAGTTTTTATTCAGCTTTTATCAGCCTCAGTATTTTATCTACAACATTTGGCAGCTGTTTTTTAACTAATATATTCAAGGCTTGAGTTAAAAGCTCAAGTTAAAAGTCTTAGAAAAAGGAAGAGGGGGGAGGAAAAACGCCGAGAAACAAGGAGCGGTTGAAACTGAAGGCAAGTTCTGCTTCATTTTATCCCCTGGCAGAATTACTTGCCTACCTTGAAAAGGAATGGTCTGTGTTGCATACCGGTAGTCTCCTTGTCGAACTAAATTGCTGGTCTGTGAGGGTGAAGGTGAAGACGCCGACTTTCTTATGAACAGGCAGTGAAGACTTTCTTTCTTATGAACAGGCAGTGAAATATACCCCCACTGCAAGTGCTGGCAGGCTTGAAGGAAATATTTAGTTGACGTTAAAATACTATCCCCCCTCTACTCGATATCTGAATTATGGGATATGGGAAACGTCTTAGAGATTCGGAGGAGACAGTCCCCATTCCCTTTCCGAGATCAAAGCAAACAAGGGTGGAACCATGTCACTTTAAGGAAGGGAGTAATCTACTGGATTGTTCCTACACGGTAGAAACTCAGAACCGATTTAACCCTCTGACTGATTCCGTGTCAGCACTTAAAGACGAAGAGCGAATAATACCTCAAATAACAAGCAATGTGGGCAACAGTAAGAGTGTAGCCTCTCCTCAGAAGGAGGAACTGGTCCTTGGCACAGCCAATTATATGACATTTGAACAGTCCCATTTAATAATCAAAACTTTGCACTGTATATTCAAAAGACTAGATGATCTTTCGTCCCAGCTGCACAGCCTCCAACAAAAGCTAGTTACTACCTCTCCAGCGACAGCCGGTGTTAAGTCTCTTGAAGAGAGGAAGGGGACGAGGAGTTTGTCCTTAAATAACAAACGTTCTGACAAATTTAAATACAACCTTAACCTTCAATTAGGTCATCAATCTTTGATTTTAACACCAAGGAAAGTGTGCTTAACTATACAAAATGGGGACCCAAGATGGAGAACTCTGGGCGGTGCCAAGGAACTCCTAATGGTGCTTTTAAATATGGAGGCAACACAGATTGACCTCTGTGCAGTCCCCCCCTTGTCTATCATCATAAATCACAGAGAGTCCTGCTTGCGTTCCAATCCACAAAAATTCCCACTATCATATTACGAAGGAAAGCTTTTTGTTTCGCTGCGGTATAGCACCAACGAGAGCCTTTATAGACCCTACGCCTAAACCCCTACTGTTGGAGGCAATAACCAAAGAGGACTTAAAACCTGCCAAACCCGATCCACCAGTGGCCACAGGAGTGGGTGTTCTCCTCCAGGAGATGAGTCAAGTGGCCTCCACTCCCTTAGCAAAGAACAACGACCATCCGGAAAGTGGCCTGACACCACCAGAAGAGATCGAACTCATTGCCTCCTTTGCAGATTTACCAGCGGTGGAACAAAAAGAAATTATTAATAGACTCGAATCGCTTAAAACCCAACTTATCAGGAAGCTCAGCACCAGAATACCTATGTACAGCGAGTATGACATCCTAGAAGAACCAGTTCATATGGATATCGCAATATCTAATGTTAAATGTATGTCGGTAATGGAGGATAAGATACAACCCCAAGATGCAACTACCAGTCCTTCCCTCCAACCAGAACAACCTTCCGTGCTCTTAATAGATTTATATGACCGTCCCTTGACAAACATACCTGAAGAAAGCAGCACACAACAGGAAAAATCCCCTTCTACACATTCATCGATGCCAGACCTGGAACCTTCTTATAGCACTGACCAATCAAGAGATGAGGTGCCTTTGCCAACCTTCTCAAATAGCCCACTCGCCCAGCCTTATTCTTCTTTGCGGAGTATTATGGATTTAACAGCAAGACCTGCGACGGAACTGACTGAAGATCCAACAGGCCACATAAATCAAGTAGCCCAAAAGACCAGTAGTAGACTACAGGGAGACCAAGCTTCTGACGAGATAGATGGACCACACCGGGTGCCCCACCAAACTCTTTTGGAAAAGGGGGCCGCCCCTGCTCAAGGTCCTACTTTTAGTAGATCGAGTGGCCAAGTTCAACAGTCAGACAACCTTGTTAATCCTCCCACTCAGCTTTTACGAGAGGTCTCTCATCAGAGGAAGATAACTGATTTTTTTATTGGCTCCCCTCTTCCCGTATTAAAGTTGAGCCAACCTTCCGAATGACAGTCAATTGGAGGAACGAGGAATCCCCAGCCTTCAATATTAAGTTGGAACATTGCTGGATGGAAAAGTAAAAAATCAGACCCAGAATTCCAAAAATATATTAATTCCTTTTTTATCATACTATTACAAGAAACTTGGGTGGAGGAGGAAATTGAGTTAAATGGCTTTGAGTTTATATGTCTGCCTGCTAGCCCGTCAATGAATGGTGGCCGCCCTAAAGGTGGCCTTACAATTGGTATCTCTCTTAAACTTCGGGCTAAACTTTCACTAGTGCATGCACTGCCGCCTTATGCTATTACTGGACTGATCTCTGGTGGAAACTTCTCTTTATTGGTTACAAATGTCTATTTCCCCCCGGGAGGGTTAGCAGCTGATCTTATTTCTAGATGGGAATCCCTAGAGGATTTTTACTTTCTTGCTATCTTAAATATCCTAATGTCCCCTCCATTACCGGAGGCGATTTTAACGCTCGGATAGCCTCAAATCGGGAAGCTCTTATAAAGTCTAAATGGTGGGTCGACCCCGGAGCTCAAACCTACGATCTAGTATATATCCCCACTAGAATATCAAAGGATGTAAAAGTCAATAAGGCGGGAGTGATGCTTTACCAGATGGCTTTACGCCTTAATTTAATTATATTAAATGGCAGGTGTCCTCCAGATATACCAGGAGAGTTCACTCATCTGGGGTTAAAATCAAACAGTGTTCTTGACTATGTATTGGTTTCTCGGGATCTATTTTTGAATGTCACCTCTTTTAAAATTGATAATGCCCAATTTAGTGACCATCTTCCCCTGACAACCAAGTTATGTGTTGACTGGCACCTGCTCGTGCGCTCCCACCCAATCCCGGTGATTGTGGAGCCGTCCACTAAAATAAAGGGGATTAGATGGTCCCCTGCCCTCGCCCATAGATATATGGATTTTATCCGAGAAAAGTTTCTTGGTGATCAGCCGGACGTAGGAATAGTCCCGCGTGATCCTATTACCTGTTTGAATTTTTCTCTTGCCTGATAGAAGTTTTAACTCGCTTTTTACTTCTCCAAGCTATGGAGTTAAAAACGATTATTTTAAATTTGGCGCCCCTTGGTTCAACTCTGCTTGTAAACTAGCCAGACTCCATCTACATACAATATATAATGACTATAAACTTTCCGGCGCTCTGGCCTTACCTCCATCTTATTCCCTGGCTAAAAAGCATACAAACAGGCCCAGAAATCGGCCAAACGGGAATGGCATTTAAATCGCTGGCAGACTATAATTTCTACCGCAAAATCTCATAACTCCCGGAAATTTTGGTCCTTAATAAAGGGAAGAAACACGAAATACCCCTTAACGGTGATCCCGGCCCCTACATGGGAGCAGTTCCTGAGAAAATATTTCTCAGTGGCAGAAGCTCCGGCCACTCGCTGGAGACCTTCTAATCCCCTTCCCGTCTGGCATAATACCGACCCTGCTGAAATCCTAGAATTGATAGCTGAACTGAAAACTGGTAAGGCCCCTGGGCCCGATTTGGTCCCTGTTGAGGCTATAAAGCTACATTCTGCATGGTGGGCAGGGATTTTAGCTAAAACGTTTGACGCAATAAATGCCACGGGCTTAATACCAGGTACGTGGAAGGAGGCCATTATAATTCCTATCTACAAAAAAGGTTCTCCCGGTGACCCAGGGAATTACCGGAATATCAGTCTGCTATCGTCCATTGGGAAAATATATGCCCGTTTTTTGCTGGCAAGGCTGATGAAGTGGTCAGCTGAGGCTGACCTGATTGGGCATGAGCAAGCTGGATTTAGATTAAACCGATCCACAACAGATCAGGCAATTATTCTTTATCACTTAGCCCGGAAATACTCGACACCTCGACGGGGCCAACTTTGCGCAGCCTTCATAGATTTGAAAGCTGCGTTTGATAGTATTCCGAGGCAATTACTATGGGATAAACTTGCCTGCTGGGGAATAGATAGAAGGCTCCTGTGGCTTATCTCCCAACTTCATGCCGGGTCCGTGGCCAGGGTAAGAATATCCCCTGCTGGTGACCTAACTAACCCAGTGCCAGTAAATAAGGGTGTACGCCAGGGTTGTATTTTAGCGCCTCTTCTTTTTAACTTATTTATCAGTGATATGAGGAACCCATTAATCGACTCACAAAAATTTATCCACACCCCCCGTATAGCAGATTATCGTTGTCCTTTACTTCTCTACGCAGATGATGCGGTACTACTCTCTTACTCCAGAGTGGGTTTAAGGAGGGCACTAAAGATTTTTGCATCATATTGCCATTCTAATCATCTGTCTATCAACCACACCAAGTCCAAAGTACTGATATTTTCAAGGAGTCGAAAATTATATTCATGGAAATTGGAGGGCACGAAAATTGAACAAGTACATAAATTTAAATATTTAGGAATTTATTTTCAATATAATCTAGGGTGGAAAGAGCACGTTGAATATCTTCAAAACAAGACAAAAGCCCTATCACACTCCCTCCTCCGTTTTTTCTACTCTGAGGGGCCTTATTCATTCCTGCGGCCTTGAAAGTGTATAGCATCAAAGTGATGGCCACAATGGCCTATGCTGCACCTTTATGGGCTGCCTTTGCAAACCTTTCACCTTTAGAGTCGCTTCAAAGCCAATTCTTACGCCGACTTTTAAAACTACCAACATGCGTAAGTAATGCGGCTATTCGCTTAGAAATGAAGATCCCCTCAGTGGAGTTAGTTTTATGGAGGAGAGTTTTGATTTATTGGATATCCCTATGGCATAAACTACCGAACCACTATCTCATTCAATGCATGTGGCGGGATGACTTTACAAATCTGTGGTCTGGAAAAATCCATGCCAAATTGCTGTCCTATGAGATCTCGCCCACGGAATTGCTCAAACTGGATCTAAACGTGGCAAAAGGTGTATAAATCAAAGGCTGGATGATGTGGAGCTATACCAAAATTTCTTAGCTGGTGGTGGAGCCTGCTCCCCGTTAAATCTCGGCATAACCCCTATCTATCGTGCTCCGTCCTACTTAACATCGCTTATAGCCGCATCTCACCGATATGCCTTCATTAGAGCCAGGTTCAATGTTTTCCCAACAAACGTGCTGAGACATAGATTCACTAAGGGCCAAGTCCCTTCAATGTGTGCTTGTGAAATGAAAACATCTGAATCTTTACATCATGTTATGTTTATCTGCCCTATGTACAGTTTAGCTCGCGCTAGTATACTAAACTCCATAATCCAGCCTATGGCTGACAAACCAGTAGACCTACAGCTTGCCTGGGTTCTTCAAGATGTAGATCCTTATATTACTCTACAGGTTGCTAAATTCCTAACAGCCGTTCTCTCGTACAAGAGACGGAATGGAATGTTAACTGATTATTGATACTTATAAGAATTTTTGATATTGACATCAGAAATTGATTTAGCGTAGTGCCCAAATTTTTAACTTTAATCTTAAATTTCTGTTTTGATTTGCCAATATTTGTCCTTGTGAGCTGTGAATTGTGTTATATTACTTGTGGCTTGTTCGAGACTGCTGTTTTATTTGATTTGTTTTGTGTGTTGTGCTTTATGATGGGCGTAAAGCCGAATAAACATTTTGGACTTCCCAGCGTAGTTTGCAATTGGACTTAACTGTCAGGGGTCCCATTACATTTTAAGATTCAACTCAGTTTGAAGTACATATGTTTGGTCCAGATTCCATTCCAGCTGCAATGTCATCATGGCTCTGGAGCAATAGAGAAAGGAGCTTCCGCCATACTCACTTGTATCCTTATATAGAGCCACCTACCCACTGGACCTTCACTGATGCTACTGCAGTGTCGTCTTCAAACTTATATACCCAGCCTTCGCTGATGGTCAGTTCCAGAATCTGATCTATTTAATTCCTGCCCATTTCAATTATTAGTCTATTATATTTTTAATCTTGTGCACTCTTTAGATCTCCTAATATGTCCATATGTAAATATATGAATACTGCTAGGGCTTTAGCCAGGAGTCATTGTGTCACCCGTTTGCCATTTTACTGTCCCTTCACTCAGGTTGGAGAGAGCCAGTTCTTTCACATATAGTTGATGCCATTCAGATCTGATGATTTGGCAGTTGGTATTTTGTCAATTAGGTCTAGAACTTAGTTTCTTGTTGCCTCTGTTTGCCTCAGTTCTTCAGACTCCCTTCATGTGAAAGTGATTTCAGGCACAGAGATCAGCATATATTTCCGCATGAAGACAGATTCAAAAAATTCCTCCATTAGTACACCTTTTACTCCTTTTTCATCCAACAGTCCAGCTGCCTCCATCGCATTTAAAGAGTTTTTTTGGTTGTAAGTCTTTATGGTTTTAGCAGCAGCTCTTCAAATTCATTTCTCGCATGCCTTATTGTCCACTAGCATTTATTTTGCCCACATTTGTGTTCCTTTTTATTCTCATTTGGACAAGACTTCCATTTTCTGAAGGAATCCTTCTTGCCTCTAGCAGCTTTTTCCGCTCTGCTCATTTAATCTCACAAGCACTTCCTTGGCCCCGATGGTTCCTTCCTGATCTGTCCTAAATGTTAAGGCTGTGAACTGGATTTGGCCAAAACATGAATCCTGAAAACCGATTCAGGCCGATTCAGGTGGCACCTGGTTATTGCCAAATTGGGTTCAGACAGCTGAAAATTGCCCTGGGTCTGGGCAGCCCCCCCTGCATGATCCAGGACTGTCAAAAGGCAGAGGGTGGGGCAGGAAGAAGGAAAGGCAGGCACAGCCTCTGCAGAGCGGCGCAGCACAGCGCTGTTTGCAAGAGGGCTTTTAAGCAGCCCCTCACTGTGCTTGGTCTGTGCACACCTGTTCCCAGCAGGGGGTCACAAGCAGGTCACAAGCCACATTTGCAGGGCCCAGAACATTTTGGAATAATCGAATGGTTATTATGGGAGCCATTAAGTTTTAAACCACACCTGACAAAAGGTTCTTGTCATGAACTATTTAAAAAGCAATTCACCTTTGCTGGATCGTGCCCACATGCTACTTGAAATGAGACATCTTTTGCAGTCCTTCTGCTGGAGCCAGCATTCTGGAAAGTTTCATTTCTAACAAAAACACAGATAATATTACTGCCTCTTTGGTTTTTGAGGCAATTATGCTTAAATATACTTGTGCTTGACTTTAATTTTCCCTCTGAATCTTCAGCTATCATCTTCAATCAACAAAATCATTCCAGAATGCTGTTGATAGCAACTGTAACTATGTGAGGGCATATATATATATATATGGAGGATATGATGGGTTTTCTATTCTAACCCTGGAAATGAGGTTAGATTGAGTTCCTCATCAAGTTGCATAAACAACACAAGGAAACATCAGAACTGTGCTGTTTAAAGACAAACAAAAAACCTTCGTGTTGTGTAGACTGAGTTCTAGGCATATTTATTTCTGAGTAAATCTAGTTCTGCTTCATTAGATGCATTCTTGAGTAAGTATGCTAGACAATCCCTTCACCGTGTTATCTGGCCTTATTCCATTATGCTCGTAAACGTTTATGGTCCAGTGCGCCATGACTCTCAACTGTGGCCGTGTCCTATGCTTCCTTTAAGTGCATCTCCTCCCATTCTTTCTCTCATGTCCCCTTATACCTGTCTTCTTGAACACCTATAAGGAGGCTGGGCCTTTGGGGCAAATGGGGTGCTGCCCCACACCCCTTGCTGTGCCCTCAGCCAGCCTCTGTCTGCCTGCTTTCCTGCTTACGACCAATGGGAGGAGGCACTGCTTGCCAGCTTCCTCTTTCCAGGTCTCAATGTTTCCTTTGTAGACCTGAGCACAGAGGAGGATGGAGACAAAAACTATAACTAGATGGCTCTGCCTGTCCGTGGATCTGGCACTACCTACTATTGGGCTCCCTGCCTCCCCCCGCCCCACCAGTCCCAAGCGGCTCCAGCCCCCACTACTTTCTCTGCTTTCTAATCTCTCCTGAAAATCCACCTTTCCGTCAAAGATTTTAGCTTAACTCACTACCCCTTGAAATGAAGTCCCACCAATTATTACTGTTTCTCAGCTATTTGCCTCTTGCCTCGCCTGTGACATCCCTTGCATATTTTGATTGTAAACTCCACAGGGCAGGGATTTTTTGAAAAATGTTTTGTCGCTGTGTAAGCAGTGCCATGTGCAAGCAATCAAAGTTAGCAGCAGCTGATCCTTTCTTACATTCCTTAAAATCAGAAGTGGTTACGCTTCACGTGAAAATGCTTCAAATCAGGACTCAACATCTTCTTATCTGAGATACTCTCTGAGCCAGAGCTTCATAGCATGAAGTTGAAATCTCTGAACTGGAGTTCTTTGGTGTGCCTTGTGCAAGCCTTGAGGGTTTGGCATTGTGATCTCCTCTGTCCTTTTTAAAGTCCGAAAGTGATCACATTTTCCCCCTACCAAAAATGAGGTTTCATCAGGGAAAGTGTAATTTTCCATATTGATGAGATAATTATAAATGAGTACTTCACTCGCCCCTTTGCCAATATTCTAATTTTACTGTTGTTCAAATGAAGGATAAATGAGTATTTGAGAGTTTCAGGCAGAATGTTTCATATAAACAGTGTTTTTTCTGAGGGGTATGCAATGATATACAACACCAGCACGGGTTTTTCTGAAAGAAAAGCACTGCACATAATCAACCCATTCTTTCTGGCCCCCTGCACTCACTGGAATTCCTTCCATTGTGGCCTTTTATATGTTACGAGAGAAACATTCACTGCAGAGCAGTAATTAGAATGGTTGTTGGGTCCTGGTGGGGGGGAGTGTCTATGCACAGTAGCCTCACATACGCAGCCACCACTTTTCCTACTTCTGTGCAACATGCATATATTGGGGGTGGGATTTCACTTGCAGATACTTCATCATGGGATAATATCATGGATCACAACCACCTGGTTCAACCCGCTCTGCAAAAGCTTTCATAACGCTTATATTACTAGGAGTGCCAGCTAATCAGGCCTAGTTGTTGGGTCTCTTGAGACTTCTCCTCCTGAGTATCTGGACCGGCACCTGAAAA